TGCGGCCTCTCCCATTTGCGGAGCACAGGCTCCGGACGCGCAGGCCCAGCGGCCATGGCTCACGGGCCCAGCCGCTCCGCGGCACGTGGGATCCTCCCGAAACGGGGCACGAACCCGCGTCCCCTGCATCGGCAGGCGGACTCCCAAGCACTGCGCCACCAGGGAAGCCCGGTTTGTGATTTTTTGATACGTCTGTAGCTGGCTACGTAGTATAGATCCTACATATTATAACCCAGTGAGGCTGCACTGCATGCAACTGATAAAAAATGGAAGTAGGATTTAAGAATAATTAGCATCATTTTTCTGTAGGGTGGTAAAATTGTGACTTCAAACATAGTCCCTATAACTTTAGGAAACTTAGCTATTTAAGTTTAATTTAGTATTTCAAACAACGAGTCATAAACGTTTTCCTAACTTAGGCCTCCTTGGTAAGTGCACTACACTGTTTCTTCATGGGAACACGTAGAGACACTGACACGAAGTCCCCTCGAAAACTGTAGCATTTGTGTTTGAAGAAGTATTGGCTGCGGTCTTTCCATACCCTCGACGGTAAATCTGACACGTTCTCGCATCTATAGACAGCACTAATGCTAATCGTAGAATTTAAGAGATTTGGGGCTTTTGTTTCCCACCTAAAGGACCGTGGGGAGGTATATGCCTTCCCTCCACTCATGGCTGTTTCTCATGGATATTGAGGTTTCTGCTTTGACTGCAGAGAACCAAACATCTTGCCTCTGATGGAGAATATCTTAAGGTTTTGCTAAATAGGGCTTTTCAGTTTTTTCTTACTTCCCAGTAAAAATAATCTTGTCTCTTGCAAGATTTTCAATATCTCCTGACTTAGGTAATTTTTTTCTTTCCAGATTGAACTTGTTAAACTAATGTAAATGTTTGTAGTTACTGGTTAACACTACATTTGAGTGAGCCACTGCGTTTCTTATGGCTGCGATGACTCTTAAGTTTCCCTCTGGGTGTGGTGAGGCTGCACTGCTTTTGCTAATGAGCAATAATGAGAGAGTAGCTAACTGCTGGCTTTGCCAGGCCTCCAAACACATTCCTGCCTTTTAATGACTATTATTGACCAAAAACAAAGCAAAAGCAAAAAGACAGAAAAAAAGGAAGAAAAAGAAAGAAAACAACACCTAAGGTGTGACAGAAAAGTTTCTTAGAGTCCATGAAACGCACCTAATTCTGGGTCAGAAGAGAATCTCAGGAGAAAAGGGTTTATAATGCTTATTAAAATAATGTGGAGAGAAGACGTGTTTCAGGTGGATGATTTCAAATCGTACTTTTATGAGATGGTTTGTTTGGGTCTCCATGGAAGACTTCTGTGAGCCTCTTCTCATAAAGAAAAGACCAAATTGGCTGAGATGAACAGCTTATATTTTGTTATGTGGATTACGATTTGCTAAGAATAAGCCAAGACCAATGAATCCATTTCACTGAGGAGTGGAGAGTGGAATAGAGCAAAGTCCCAAATGGGAGAGATCAATACTTGATTTACTAAAGCAAGCCCTAAAAAAAAAGTCAATAACTGGTTATATTTTTTTATACCTATTTCTCTGCTTGGCTGGTATTTATTCATATATGTAATAGCATTATCTAAATAAATATTTTAAACTATATATCAATCTTAAAATTCACATTGTAATGGAATATGAGAAAAAGCCAGTCTTTGATGTGATCGGGTAGCCTGTTTTAAGATCTCATACAAATCTATGAGCTAATCTTAAATCTTGAAACCCATTCAGTGGCATATTTCATAGTTTTTATACCAAAATGCAATGAACAACGATATTATACTGTTACAGTAAAAAGGATACCCATTAGATATGTGTGTTTTTATTATGATTTTTAACCTATAATTTAATTTCCCTTTATAAGTTTCTTAAATTCCTCAGGTTATTTGCTTTTAGAGCAAGGAACTAAATAAACAAAAGGTCAAATGAAATTGAAAGTCATTGCCCTTAAATTACCTAGGAAAAGAGGCAGGAAATGGCATGGTTCTCTCTGGGACTCGTACTTGCTGCCCCTTGCCCTAAACATGTATTTGCTGAGGAAGCAAGATCCACTCTTTTTGTCCGTTTTCAAGACCTGCCCTGCTCAAAGGAGATGGTGATTAAATTTAATATAATATTGGCTCATTTGTCTGTAGGGCCATCACCTGAAACATCAAGCTTTGCTTCCTAAGGACAATTTGTGGAAGTGGAGTCTAAAACATCAGATGCAGGTCTGTGCCCGTCCCGATTCTCGGGGGACTCCGGAGATGGATGGGTAGATAGAAACATAGGTACGTAGATGCAGCCTACAAACCTACATACGTAGATATGAATAAAGTCAGGACACAGACAGGTCCGCTAAAGCTTTGACTGCTCCGGGGTGATCCCAGAAAAAAAGTGTCTAGAAATTTCTTTAATTCCTTAAGGGAAAAAATTACTCCTAGATTCCCATCTTGATTTTCAAGATTTTCGAGAAAGAAAAAATATACCCTCCATCATAACACACATAGAAACACAACAGCAAAATATTTATGAAACATATTCGTTAAGAAGTTACTGGAAAACAAAAAATGCTCTGAGGTTACATGGGAAATGTATTAGAATGTCATTCTAATATGGCTTATTATTGTGGAACTCAGATTTCAAGGAACTGTGGGTCGAAATTGTATCCCCCCCACCAAACATAATAGCGCAAAGTAGCCCAGTACACAATAGCCCAATACAATGATGTAAGCAATTAAATATGTAGAATAGAGTCGTGTTCCATTGAACCACAGTGTCGGACAAAGTTCCTGAACTGCCGACTTGGTTGATCTATGATGCAAGTCAGAGGCATACATGCCTTGCTTTAGAGCAGACAAAGATTCTAGTAACTTCTTTCTCCTTTCGGGATTGTTAATAAACCAACATCTAAGGAATGTAAGTTACATAATGGAACGTTGGAAGCCCAATGTCAGCTAATTAAGTGTGGCTACGACTCGGAAAGATCCTGTAAGTG